TGTCAAAATATTATCTCTAATTTACTTTATTTCATGGGTATCATGTGAAAATACTACTAAAAGGAAAAGGAAACACATAAAGTGAACACTCATATATAAACATGTACTTGAGGTCGTAAATATCTATCAAATATAACTTAATAAATGAAGAAATATACTTTGTATTTGAGGAAAGGAAGTCAGTGTCTAAAATCACACTGCAAATGTGAATGTCAAGCTAAAATTAGGCTTACCAAATTCTAGTCGAATACTTTCCTCTATTATTACATGCTGCTTTTCCTTAACTACTAAGTTTAGGGATAAGAAATCTCATAAAAAGCTTTGAAAAATATTATTCCTTACCTGACATGATCAGAAACGAGAAAATATCAAAGAAAGGTAAATAAGAAGAGGAGACAATACGAGAGTATGTCTGAACACTCAAGTGGGAGTCCACAAATGTCCAGAACAGATGACTGATCACTGGTTATTGGTCATTGGTCACTGTTTACTCACGATGATCCAAACTTGTTTACAAACAACTGCAAGGCAGCCCCAAGATTCTACCAGGTGATGGTAGGTTTCATGGGAGAATGATGTCTTAAATCAGGCAGTTGAAAGGTAGAGGCTAGCCAATATGGAGGCCAGATTCCCAAGAAGAAGACTGGATTGGATAGACTGAGAGGTAGACTTAAGCAGGCTAGAGAGATGGAATCTTACAAGACAGTTATAACAGTTTCACATTCCTTAGACTCTTAGGAAAGGGAAATACTCCTATGAATTGATGAGCTTACATATTTCATTAAAAAATCAACAGGTAGTAGGTAATAATTTTATTGCCTAGTTAACCAATAACATTAAGTTATTACTCTTGTATTTTGTATAATGTTTAATAATAAAAATAAATTATATGTTAATGCTTTATGATACACATTATTACTTACTTTAGGGGTAGGAAAAGATGGATTATAATGAGAAATCTTCCCCTAGCAAAAACCCCTAAGTTTAGGGTGTTCCATTAGCAAACATGCACACATAAAGGAATATTAAGCAAGGAAAGAATAGATGACACAGTATCTGCCAGCTGTAAACTTGTGTCAGGAAAACATAGACTAATACTTTGTAGGGTGTTTTAGATTTAGGGGACAATATAGCCAAAACTAGAATAAACAAATTTCACAATCTTTCATTTATTTATTTTGATTTTGGGTCCTCACCGAGCCATGCTCAGGGCTTGCTCTTGGCTCCTCACTCAGGGATCACTCCTGGAGGAGCTCGGTAGACTGGGTGCAAGAGAGGTACCCTGCCCGCTGAATTCTCTCTCGTGGGCAAACAATTTTGAATTTTACTCATGCTTACTGATTCTCTGTGAGCTACACTAGCCTCTGCTCTCCAGGTCCCTGTGACATGTTTATATACTTCCTAACTGTCCTTGATGTCTCTGTCAACTACAACATTGGCTCACCTGTTGCAATATGCTGGGGTTGGGGAAGTAATATTGCATTATACTGGACATGCCATGAGACTACTGATGGCTGCACAGGTGACCCTAAATCTAGGTCAATCCGCATGTTTGTCTACTTATGTGTTTGTCTCACTCTCTGTGAGTGACCGCTGCTGAATGGAGATTCAAAGTGACAATTAGATTTGGTAGATGAGAAACAATTTACACATATTATAACCAATTATTGTGATCAACAAATTTTACCGTCTATTAGAAAATCGCAAGTAGTATGGGATATTTGGGAACCTATGAAAAGAATCAGGAAGAACACAATAAATACTTGAAGACAGTTGTAATTTATCATAGTGTCGTCATCTGGATCAAAGTGACAATCCAGAGGAAAACTCATTTGCCTTGCACATGGTCGACCTGGATTCAATCTATTCCATCCCAATATGTATGTTCCCTTGAACCCTTGAGGATTGTCTTTATACAAGTCAAGCACCCTACACACTGTACTATCAATCCAGCCCAGGAAGTGTGTGTGTGTATGTGTGTGTTATGTATGTATGTTTGTGTGTGTGTGTGTGTGTGTGTGTAGAGAGAGAGAGGATTTGGGGTAGCCCCAGTGATACTCAAGTACTCCTGTCTCTGTGCTCAGGAGTGACTCCTGGTGCAGCTAATGGGACTATATGTTGTGCTGGAGATAGAACCAGGGTCGGTCACAGGGAATATTAATATATTAAGCCCTACATTATTCCTCAGTGCTGGAGCAGAAATATATTTTAGAAGTGAAAATAAGATGAGCCAGTAGGAGTCAGTGCAAAGACAGAATCAGGAACTTTGCTGGGGAAGGATCACCCAAGTGGCCAGAGACGGACTTCATACTACAAATGCAGAGATGAAAAGAGACAGAAACAGATCCTCAAAGAATAACCAATTGACTAGATGTACTTTTTTGAATAGAAAGTATTTGCTTATCCCTAATTAGCTGAAAAAAAAGAAAGGAAGACTGAGAAGAAGAAAGAAAGAGAGAAAGAAAGAAGAAACTAAGGCATATGTAGGAAGGAAACATGGATGGAAGGAAAGAATGATGGAAAGTAGAAATGTAGAAGGGAATAAAGAAAGGAAGGAAAAAAGAATGGAATGAATAAAAAGGAAGGATGGAAGGAAGGAAGGAAGGAAGGAAGGAAGGAAGGAAGGAAGGAAGGAAGGAAGAAATTTTCGGCTGCTGGGGCTGGCTCCATTGGACCACCCCACTCCTCTCTGGGATGCCCTCAATAAAACAGGCTGGCATGGGGTCTAGGGCCATGTCTATGGTGTACTGTTCTGTGCTCTATTCTGAGCAATTCATTGTTGAGTCTCTGGATCATGGCCATTGATGAGTTTATATGGCGCCAGAGATGATTTGTGGATGTGACTGCCAAGCTGCTGAGAACAGGGGGAGTTTGGGAGAGATCACCCATTCTCTGATTTCATTGAACCTGGAGATTTCAGTCAGAAGTCCCACATACCTGAGATTTTCTTCAGATTCACTCATAGATGAGACTAGTCCACAATTGCCAATAGTGGCCATGATCATGGCTTTCAAGTTCTGTAGGTTTTTGTCAGCTGGGGCAAGGTCTATTGGGGCGGGAAAGGTATGGGACTCTAAATAGATTTTGAATCATTTTTATTTATTTTCTTATCTTTTTTTTAAGAGTTCTCTTGATTGAATCTTTACATTTTTTAAATTTTATTTTACTGTATCACCGTGAGATACAGTTACAAGCTTTCATGTTTGAGTTACAAACATACAATGTTCAAACACCCATCCCTCCACCAGTGCACATTTCCCACCACCAATCTCCCCAGCATACTGCCCCTTTCTGGCCCTCCCCCTGCCTTCATGGCAGACAATTTCCCACATACTATCTCTTTGATCTTATATCTTTGATGCTAGAGCATTTCTAACAAAATATTATCAACTAATGCCTCTTAATATGATTAAAACTGTGGCTTCTATACAGTGGGTACTTCATAAGATCTTACTGTTTGCGGGGGCACCCCAAAATTCTCAGAGGTGACTCCTGGCTTGACACTCAGTAATTATGCCTGGCAGTGCTTGTTGATAAATATGGGAAGCATTAGATAGAACCTGGATAGGTCCCTGACCAAGCCAAGTACCTATCTGCTTTACTATGGCTTTGGCTGAGGTATTACTACATTTAAATTTAGTAAATATTTTGACTCTGTCTGGCCGAGCTGAGTTTGATTCCTCCACCCCTCTCAAAGAGTCCAGCAAGCTACCGAGTGTATCTCACCCGCACAGCAAAGCAAGGCAAACACATTAACAACAAGTCTCACAATGGAGATGTTACGGGGCCTGCTTGAGCAAATCGATGAACAATTGGAGGACAGTGCTACAGTGCTATGGGCAAGATGAAAGTTCTAGTGATTTATAGACTGAAGTGTGAGTACTGTGAATAGCAGAATATTCCACTATTCGGTACTCAATATTATAAGTTTGCCCTGATTCAAACATTATCTTACGTGGTCTTGCTCTATATACTTTCATTTTTTGACAACCAACTGTTTTCTTATGATCACAGTCCTAAGCCTCTGGCTTAGTGCTGGACTCACATGATGCATCTCTCCACATGGTACCTTTGGGGCTTTCAGCATTCAGTTTTCAGCCTGAGCCTTGTGGACCATGCTGAATTCTATTAGTGGACACCTGGTAATTGAATAGAGAAACCTCTGAGATATTCTTGATTTTGTTTTCCTCTTCATAGTTTTCCACACTCAGAATTGTTGCTTTGATCTCTTAAAAAGATTTTTAAATTTAATTTTATTTTTATACAGTTATTCACAATATTTGAGTGAATTTAATATTCAAACACCAATACAGCACCACCACACCTTCTCACCACCATATTTCAAATGTTTCCATCCCAAACCTAAAACCTTGCCCTATTGCAGAGGCAAAAAAATTACTTTTGCTCTACTTGTTATGAATAATTCGCTAAAAATGATCCAAAAATTGTTTCTTAGAGGAAAGTATGTAAAGGTGGTTGTATTTCACCAGGAGCCATTAAGCACTTCTATAACAGATTAGTAACATGTTGTTAAGTTTTAGCCTTGTGTGTATATCTGTCTGTCTGTCCATCTATCTTTCTGTATAAATATATTTCCTTTAAGATTGGTTTCCTTCTATTATATTATTTTTATTTTTTAATGAATCACCATGAGGTTCAGTTACGGATTTGCAAGCTTTCTTGATTATGTTTCGGTCATAAAATGATTGAGTATGCCTCTCTCTACTAGTGCCTATTCTCCACCACCAATGTTTCCAGTATCCCTCCCTTCACCCCCACACAATCTCTCCCACCTGCCTTTGTGGCAAAAACATTCCCTTTTTCTCTCTCTCCTTTTGGGTGTTATGGTTTGCAATGCATATAGCAAGTGACCATCATGGTTGTTGTATAGTCTATTTTCAGCAGGAATCTAACATCCGTGTGAGTTCTCCAAGAATCATTTAAATAGTGGTCCCTTCACGCCTGGGCGTTTGCGGCGGTGCGGTGGCTACAGTGGCTGTGGTGGCTGCGGAGCTGACAAGAAACTCCTAAATTTCCTCTGGGAGTGAAGTAGAATTTCTTAAGAACATCATGGGTGGAGAAGAGAAAACCTATGGTGGCTGTGAAGGCCCTGATACTATGTATGTCAAATTAATATCCTCTGATGGCCATGAGTTTATTGTAAAAAGAGAACACGCATTAACATCAGGAACAATAAAAGCCATGTTGAGTGGCCCAGGTCAGTTTGCTGAAAATGAAACCAATGAAGTCAGTTTTGCAGAGATCCCTTCACATGTGCTATCCAAATTGTGCATGTATTTCATCTACAAGGTTCCTTACACTAACAGCTCCACCAAGATTCCTGAATTCCCAATTGCATCGGAAATTGCAGTGGATCAGCTAATGGCTGCCAATTTCCTTGATTGTTAAATAAAATAAATTACAATAAGCAATAAGCTTTTACCTTTTTTCAGTATTTAATACCCGTAGTTCAGTTAGTAACTTTTCATATATAGCATGTTGACTTTGTGTAATAGAACTTTTAATGTTCATTGCCAAGCAGATTATCTTCTGTTCTTTTGCATAGCAATCAAAACTGACATTTGTTTGCTACATCAGTAAACTAAGGACATCTTCAAAAACTGAGAAATAAACTAATATGCCAATTCATAGGTGATTTTGCATTAGATTTTGGATGTGATTTTTTTAAATTAATGGTGGTACAGTAAATGCTAAAATTTAGGCAAAAATGTACATGTTCTACAAGAAAATAATTTGCTCTGTATTTTTATGTTTTTTTTAAACTATGCTGATCTTCTAGACATCATTAGTAGCATTATTCGTTACGCAAATATTGCATTATAAACATGTTTATAACTTAGCCAAGACTTCAATTTTTTTATAACTTTCAAAGACGTAAGATTTTAAATTTCTTTTCTGTCTTTTGATAAACTGCAGTATTGTTTAAATGTTTCTTGTCCTTTTGTTTATAGCTGCGATTTAAGAACTTGATTTAAAAGCAGTTTTGGAAGATTACTAGTCAGTTTTTGGAGCTGGTAACTGCATGTAGTCAACAGTTCAGCTACATGACTGATTAAATGTGCATTGTTCATTTTAACCAATTCACAGTATGTACTTTACTATAGTTATTTTCCCCCATTATTCATTCTTCCATAGTTCCTTGTTGTTTTCACATTTTTGTATTTACGTATTAAGACTTAACCTCACTAGACTTTAAAAACTAGACCACCCTGAATATTCTAATCTTGCTCCTTTCATTTGTATTATTTATGAGAAACATTTTGAGATACACAATGCAATGCTTACAATATACTTTGTTACACATAATCATCTATTAAAATTTATCATCCCAAGTGAATATGACCATGACGATTGGTGGGTCTTTTACACACAGGTAGTGTGAACTTAAACTTAATAAGGAGGTCAATAAGCTCTCCTACTAAACATACCAAAAATATTAAAAACTATGACAGCATAGCTAAACTACCAACAGAACTGTCAAGGTGATAGCTAGAAAGAGTTAACTTAACCTTGGCCAACTTTAGTGAGTTACTTTGTGTTAGATTCAGAAGTAACTCAAGGTTTAAAACATTGGACTAAAAGATTAGGAAAACCTGTATATCTTGCAAACGGTACTTGCATGTTAATAAAGGCTCAAATGATTGAAAGATTGGAACTCTTCGTGTTTGATAGTTTTGGTCTTTTTTTGAGGATTTATGGAATCAGGATATCTTTCCATAGTTAGGTAATAGGAATTATTTGATTAAATTTAAGAAGTGATCACGATCACGATCACGATCACGATCATCCTGTTATTCGTGGATTACCTCGAGCAGGCCCCAGTAACGTCTCCTTTGTCCGAGCCCTGAGATTTTTTACAAAGTGCCATATTCAAGGCTCTTTCGGGATTAGAAAAATGAGACCCATCAATGTTACTGGTATTTGGCATATTGGATATGCCACGGGGAGTTTGCCAGACTCTGCTGTGTGGGCAGGTTACATTCATTAGCCTCCCAGTTTGTCCAAAGTAAGAATTAGATAATTCCCAGAGGCGCACTTCCAGGAGCTGAGTTTTATAGTCTCTGAGTCTTGACGTTGATGGGATTACAACGTGCCAGGGGGCCAGTTGGTGGTTGTGACCATTGCCTACTCGAATTTGGAGGATCTGAGTGGAGGATGCTCAGCCCCGATCAGAGCAGGCTTGGAGATCTCAGCTGCGGGACCCACATGCCTTTGTTCCTCTGCTGGTACCTTCATGTGTGTGGAGAGTGGTCTCAGCATGATGGTGGCTGGTTCTGGAGGTCTTTGGCAGCCGGAGAACTGATCGGGGCTGGGAGGAAACTCAACCCGCTCCCCTCCAAGGGGATCCTGCAAGGACAGCCAGGCGCGGGGGCAGGAAAAATGATCTTTAAAAAACAGTGATCCCTTCTCTATTCTATCTGTGAGTCTCCCAACTGTTACATTATATTCCACAAATAAGTGCAGTAATTCTATGTCCGACCCTCTCTCTCTGAATGATTTCTCTTAGCATGACACTCTATATTGATGCACATATATGCAAATTTCATTATTTCACCTTTTCTAAAAAGATGCATAGTATTCCATTGTGTAGATGTACCAAAGTTGTTTTTAACCAGTCATCTGTTCTCCGGCACTTGGATTTTTTTTTCCAGATTTTGGCTATTGCAAAGAGTTCTGCAATGCATGTAAAAGTGCAGATGTCATTTATACTGTAATTCTTTGCATCTCCAGGATATATTTTCAGAAGTGGTATTGCGGGGTGAAATGGGAGCTCAATTTTTAGTTTTTTTTGAGAAACGTCCATATTGTTTTCAAAAAGTCTATGCCAGTCAGCATTCCCACCAGCATAGAAAGAGAGTGCTCTTTGACTCACATCCATGCCAACACTGGTTGCTTTTGTTCTTTTGGATATGTACCAGTTTCTGTGATGTAACATGGTATTATTTGTTTTCATCTGCATCTTCCTGATGATTTGTGATGAAGAGCATTTTTTCATGTGCCTTTTGGCCATTCAAATTTCTCCTCTGAGAAAGTTTCTGTTTATATCATTTTATGTTTATTTTATTACATTCTGATGGGATGGATGTTTTCTTACTGTAGAGTTCAACCAGTGTCTTGTATATCCTTGATATTCACCCCTTATCAGATGGATATTGGGTGAATATCCTTTATCATTCTGTAAAATGTCTTTGTATTATGCTCACTGATTCTTTTGAGGCACAGAGGCTACTTAGTTTAAGATAGTCCCATTAGTGTATCTCTGTTTCCACTTGCTTGTTCAGTGGCATGTCACCTTTGATGATACTTTTATTTTCAATGATGTGGAGGATTTTGCTGACCTTCTCTTCAATTGACCATATGGATTCAGATCTGATGCTGGGGTTATTAAATCCATTTTGATCTGACTTTTTTGCGTGGTTTAGGTAGAGATCCCAGTCCACTTTTTATTTTGCATATAGCTGTCCAGTTTTGCTGGGTTCCAAGCTCTGGAGCAGACCTCCTGGTAATGATCTCAAATATTCTTGGGTGTTTTCTCCAATTCTGTTATTTAACATTCCACAGATGAGTGCAGTCTTTCTATCTCTGTTCCTCTCTTTCTGGCTCATTTCACATAGCATGTTACTGACTATGTTGAACTACTTGTACGTAAATTTCATGACTTCATTATTTCTAACAGCTGCAGTGTATTCCACTGAAGGATAGATTATTCTTGGTGAAGCAATCGTTTCATTGATTTTTTTCACTATAATCCCCCATTGTCTTTGGACTAGGACGGTTTCCTTTGATAAGTCTGCTGCAAAAATAAGGGATGCTCCTTTGTATGTCCTTCTTTGGCCTTTCTGCTTGCACTATTATGTCTCTATCTGTGGTATCCGTCATTATGAATATGATATCTTGGAGTCTCTTTATTAGGGTCTCTTTTAGCTGGTACCTTTCAAGCTCCTTGGATCTGGATGTCTGCATTTTCCAGCTTTGGGAAATTCTCCTCAATGATGTCCTTAACAGTTGCTACTTCATTGGAGTTGTCTCCCCATTCTTCTGAATCTTTGATGATTCTTATGTTGTTCCTCTGAAGTTCATCCTTTAGGTAACTGATTCACATGAGGTTTTTTGAGGTCCTTTCCCATTATAGGCTGTTGCCTGTATGTGTTATGCAGCTCATCTTGAAACTCAGTGATTCTATTTTCAGTGGTGGTCATTCTACTGTTGAGTGTGCACACTCTGTTTTTAAATTAATCTACTGAATCCTTTATTAATGACGCATGTTTGTTGCTTTCTTATTTCTGCTTTCATTGCTTCCTGATTTTATTTGCTGTCCATTCTTTCATGGCTTCCTTTAAATTACTGGCTGCCTATTCCATTGTTTCTCTGAGTTCAATTAACATGCACAAAATTTCATCTCTGAATTCTTTATTGGAGAGATTGTATTTGTTGGTATTCTCTATTGAGGCTTCAGAGCTGTTTTCTTCATCCACTCCTCATGGTGGGAATTTGCGCCTTTTCTTCATGCTCCTTAGATATTTTCGAAGTGGGACCCTCCGGTTTACTCTCAATGTTCCCCTCTTGCTGTGAGAAAGGATTCTGAATGAGCTCTTCGATGGTGGTCACCTTTTTTTCCCTTCTAGAATACTAGCTTTGTCTTTGGTGCTACTCCTTTGTGACCTCTGTGAGTCCTCTAGTGCTGTTTCAGGTATGCATTCTTTAATGTAGACTTGTTCATTTTCTTGTGTTCACATTTACTTTGCTGAGATCAAAATAGGCTAGTGGACTATTGGCATAATGTGTTTGTGACAGCCAGACTATCCTCCTCAAAATTAGATAATGGAGATTGAAATTTGAGTACAAAGTGTAGAGAAAGGGGAAAATTAGATCAGCCACTCGAGGCGCTACTGCCTTGCAGGCCATGCCCACTGCTTCTGCTCTACTTTGTGGGGGGTAAGCCCCAATGGTGCCTGATCTGGAATAAAGTCCCACTTCTGAGGCAGTCCTAAAATTTGCCAGGGAACGCCTCTGTCCTGAGTGCCTCTGGGGGGAGGGGGTGGAAGGGGCATGGCCAATGATGAGGAGTCTTGCAGTTCCCTTAGCTGGATTTCTGGCACACTGCCCTGGAGTGCTCCCCCACCAACCACTTGCCTTCTATTTTCAAGGTCACGGTCACGGTCCTCCCGTTGTTCATCGATTTGCTCGAGCGGGCCCAGTAACTTCTCCATCATGAGACTTGTTACTGTGTGTGGCATATTGAATACTTCACGGGTAGCTTGCCAGACTCTGTCTGAGATACTCTCCGTAGCTTGCCAGGCTCTCCGAGAGGGGTGGAGGAATCGAACTCGGGTCAGTCATGTTGGCCGCTTGTAAGGCAAATGGCCTACCACTGTGCCATCGCTCCA